GGAAAAAAATGAAAGAAAAGTAATTTGTGATTTTTTTTCTTTTTTTTTTTTTTTTTTGCGTGTTTCACTGAAGAAAGAAAGTTGTTTTTAACAACATAAAGCTCATTAAAAGATGACAGAATTTTAATAATTGGTTGAACTCTTTCTTTGAGGAAACCACATGTTAATTTCCCTGTTTTGGCAAAAGATGGTGCTGCTGTCTAACAATGCTTTGCCTCTGAAAGTCTTCACAAAATTTGTCTCTTTAAATATGGTTTGAAGTTTCAAGAAGTGGAAAACAATAACTAAGGAAATTTACAGATTTACTAATTTAGGATGACAATCAAATTATCCAATTTGCTCAACCACAAGCTAACAATGAAGTAACAAAATCAGGTTTGATGTATTCAGGCAGGCAACAAGCAATCAGTAATAATATATATATTTTTTTTTTATTAAAATATTTTTAAAACTATTGATTGTAATTTAACATATTTTATAATATCTGTTCTGTTGGATGGTTCCATGTTCATGGTTCCATGAACAGAAAATTTCAACTTATTTTCATAGCTCTTTATTAATTTTCAGACATTAACGAATTGTGAATGCACTTCAAATGAAAAAAAGAGTTTCGTGTTTATTTTTTTAAGAAGACATTTTTTAATAAGACATAAAAGCAGTTGGTGCCCACAGTCTTGTGGTTAGTGTATCGACATATAGTGCAACGGCGACCCGAGTTCAAATGCCGCCTAGAAGTCTTTTGCCGATCCTGCGATTAAAATATTTTTAAAACTATTGATTGTAATTTAACATATTTTATAATATCTGTTCTGTTGGATGGTTCCATGTTCATGGTTCCATGAACAGAAAACTTCAACTTATTTTCATAGCTCTTTATTAATTTTCAGACATTAACGAATTGTGAATGCACTTCAAATGAAAAAAAGAGTATCGTGTTTATTTTTTTAAGAAGACATTTTTTAATAAGACATAAAAGCAGTTGGTGCCCACAGTCTTGTGGTTAGTGTATCGACATATAGTGCAACTGCAATCACGGCGACCCGAGTTCAAATGCCGCCTAGAAGTCTTTTGCCGATCCTGCTCCCTTCTCTCCTCCCAGTGCTTTCCTGTCAGCTCTCCACTGTCCTCTCACAATAAAGGCATAAAAAGCCCATAAATATAACTTAAAAAAATGACATAAAAGGAAATGAAGAGAAGCAACAAGTGTTCAAAATGGATGATTTAAATATATTTAAAGAAACAAATTATGCACCAATTTACCATATAGCAAAATTCTATCTGAAATAGCATTTAGAAAATAAACAACAATATAAAATGAATATATAATATTTATATTTCTTTGTAAAAGAATTAGTTTGTTATATTATATTGTCTTTGTGGGTTGGACCTGTGTTAATGGCACATACAAATTACGCATTGAAAGCATATAAATGTTTCTGGAGAAAAGACAAATAGCTGTGTAGCTCTTTGAGTCTTTTCTTTTCATAATATGTATGTGTATTATAAAAAGTTCTACACAAAAAATTTTTTTGACAGGAATGCTAAAGGGGTTAAACCTTGATTCCCATTACAGGACTGGATATAGCACATATAGGAGTGTGTGTGTGTGTTTGTTCTTGTAGTTATTTTAAGTCAAATATGCATGTGAGTCATAGTGATATGCTGTAGCCCACGTGTCCAAACTCTCCTACTTTTTGAATCAGGACACTACATTGTGTCCCAGTAATATTATTGGCAACTAAGTGTTAGGTCAACAACAGACAAACAACCACACTAACAGTGGCTTTAATAGGAACACAGACTCACGTGTAATCCAGTTACTACCTTCATAGGACAGATAATTAACTAATTGACAAAAGACTTTTAGGGCACTCATTTGGATAATCTGAAACCAATACAGTAAGCTTGTTCACATAAGACTGCTATGGTATCTAAATTACATTTTATTTGCCAAGTTTCATTATACAAAAAAAAAAAAAATCTTTGTTCAGATGTTGACACAGTACAACACTTAACAATGAATAAAATAAAACAAATAAAAATAAAACTGGAGCAAAAGGGGAAAATACAGATAATATTTTATTTATATATAAACCCAACCCAATAATGAGATACTTCAAAATCCCATTTCACTTCTGTAATGTGCTGTACTGTTATGCAGTGTCCTGTGTGTATTTGTGTGTTGAGTCTTAAATCTCAAAATAGTTTGTTAAATTAGCATCAGGGCATGTAAGAGCAACTTGGTTGACAATAAAAGCATTTAATTTAAAACATAATATTTACATGTATTAATTCAGCAAACACTTTATAATATATTTGAATATATGTTTATTTATTATATTTATTTAGGAGACACTTTTGTATTTTAATATATTTTATTTATTAATTTATTTTACAGTGAAACCAGATTTCATATTAAAAGATTTTTTTATCCATTTGAAAATTGTTTAAAATTTAGAGATTATTATTATTATTATTATTAATTATAATATATTTTAATTTTACATTTTTATATTGATTTACTCTTTAATATTATTATATTATATTTTATTTTATGGTGAAACTAAATTTAATATAATTATTTTCATTATTGTTTGAATTTTTTTTAGTATTACATTATTTTTTTTAAATAGAAAAAGCTAATGATAAATAGAAAAAAAGAGAAAAGTATGATATCCTTCTACATCCTTCTATCCTCCTATTGTTTGGAATTAAATTAAATGGTTGCATCAAATGGTTCTTGCTGTAACATAGTATCTAAACCTTAAACTTCAAAGACTGAACACAATTTTTTTAATCATCAAAAAGGATACTGTATTATAATTTTTAATTTTCATCTTAACATTAGTGCATGAAAGCTGATTTTAAAAACACTTTTTCAAATCTTAAGTTACAGTAAACTGAAATGCACAATGCTTTTGTTTTAGTCCCAAAGACTTGACACAAACAGGATAAGCACACCCAGAGGTCATGTTGTATCACTGCAGCCACCACCCAAGACAATTTACATTAATCAAAAACAATAATCTGTGTAATCTCTCGTAATTACAAAGATTTGCTTGGTTTAATGAAAATAATCCCCCTCAATTAGACCCCCTGCCTCTAACTCTCTTGTACCCCACTTTGCTTCTAATTGCATGGTTAAATATGCAGAGCATTTAAATTAAGTGGCGTTAACGATCTGGTTATTGCAAGAGAAGTCCTTCTTGAAGGAAGCTGTCTAGGAAGATTCGCAACTGGTGGTGGTGTTTTTCGAACAAGTGGCTAATCGAACAAACACACAACTTAACGAACGCATTTACCTGTTTACTCGATTCACACATGCCTCAGAGACTGACGTCACATCTGTTACCAAATTAATCGTTTGTTGGACTAATCTTTGCAAGCACTTCTTGAAAAGACGGAACACACAAGGAAAGACAAAGAAAGTCAAACCAGGACAAAATGTTATAAAGTTGGATCCAAAAACTGAATTTTCAACCACTAAGCGACAGATTCCAAGATCTAACAATACAGAAATGGAGGACAACGCATGCCGCAGCAATCAAGAACAACTGGGACTTCAGTTCACCATTGACTATCTGTTGTACAATAAGGGATGCAACAATGAGAGAGCAGAACCAGAGAACAATGGCCCTCCATCTGAAGGTCTTCAATGCACAGTCAATGAAACTTTCTCAGAACAGAATAGTGGAAAATCAGAGGACCAGGAAAATGAAGAAAACGGATGTGAAGAAGAACACGAGAAGACCAATCTTAGGAGTGAAGGAACGGACGAGAAGCCAGCGCAGTCCTACATTGCCCTCATTTCCATGGCCATCCTGGATTCAGATGAAAAGAAGCTCCTGCTATGTGATATTTACCAGTGGATCATGGATCACTATCCTTATTTCAAAAGCAAGGTATTGTACCTTCATGAAAGCAACTAAGCTTCCTCAAAGGGTTCTGTTTGCAAGTTGTGGTTAGGTTAAGCAATTTTGTACAAATCTTTCGAAAAGTCAAAGATCTGTAAGATGTTCTACAACTCACCAACAAGATCTGTAAGATGTTCTCACCAACATACTTCTTAGTGATCTACATCCTTGCATCCTTACATCATTCCCTCAATAGTAGCTCTAATCAAATACTGTTTAAACATTTCTTGAAGTGCCTACAAACCATTTTAGTAATCCTGTTGATCACCAACTGCATTTAGCAAAGCACTTCTTCAAAAGACCTACTGCAGAATGAAAAAAACACAAACCAGAACAAATGTTATGAACTTGCATCTGAATTTGCAATCTGTCAAAGCCTTATATTTGAATCTTTATCTGTCAAAATCAATTCGATTTTGATTGTCACAATCTGACAAAGATTTGTAAAAGATCTGTAAAACCAAAAGTTTTGATTTAAAGTAAATTTAAGAATCATGACCTCAAAATTTTGGTCAGGTTTGCATGATATTGTAGACAGTGATGGGTAATTTCTTAAAATATATTGCTAGCTTTTCCCCTCCACAACTTATAAATGATAAATCTTAATAATAACAAATCTGAACTCATATTCATTATTAAGTCAAAGTATCTTACTTTCAGATGAGTCATAATTCACGTTCTCTACTCTTTAAACAGGACAAGAACTGGAGAAACAGTGTCAGACACAATCTCTCTTTGAACGAGTGCTTCGTCAAAGCCGGTCGCAGTGACAATGGCAAGGGCCATTTCTGGGCTATTCATCCAGCCAACTTTCAAGACTTCTCTAACGGGGACTACCACCGGCGACGGGCCCGG